GTTATTTAGCTGAAACAAGCTAAATACCTTGCTGATAAGCAGCGTCCAATCCAATCCACCCCGCCCCAGCCCAGATACAACCAGAACCAGTTCCCTCAGCAAAGGAACCAGCAACCATTCTCCATGCTCGACCAGCTCCTGAAGGAATACGCCCTTCCGTCTGGAGGCGCGGCGCCCCTCCACGACATCACCTTCGGATCCTACTAGAAAACGATCCTACTAGGTTAAGGCCATCTCACTCTTTGTAAATATGTAGCATATTTTTTTATTAAAACTAAATAGAGTTACCTTTATGTGTTTGATTTTTTAAGAGCCTGTTTCATCATATCAGTCAGATGTGAACTACAACTTTTGGTTTTGCAAGTCTTGGACAGAGATATTTGGCAGATAAAGTCATTGGTAACCTGCATCTTATCTTACTAATATTATAAATACGAAAGTTTGTATGGATGTCTGGATGTCAACATGTTTGTTACTCTTTCACGCAAAAACTACTGATTTTTATGAAACTTTACAGTATTATTGTTTATAACCCAGAATAACATATAGGCTATAATTTATGACGATCTGTGGCAAATTCACGCGGGTGAAGCCACGTGCAAAAGCTAGTCCATTATAATTGTAAGATAACGTTTAATGTGTGGAACCTAAATAACTATCTGTAAATTATCAGGGGCCTGCGATTCTTGAGCCTGGATGTAATACGAGACAAAATAAAGAAATCAGATTAACAATAATTAAACACCACTAAGTTTACCTCAGCATCGGTGGGCAGCGTCCAATCCAGGTCCCGAACCTTGTAGATTCTTCTTAATAACGCACTTAACACTATGCTTTCACCACACTTCCACAATATTTACTTTTAACACGAGAACTTTGCAATAAACTCAAAAATAGCGTTGTGAGAACTGAAACGACCGAACCGCGTATTAAGCACCGACCGATACAATTTACACTTTTCAAGTGATAAAAAAAACTACCCTCCGATATTCTTGATATTTTAAAATTTCAATCTGCCTGTCTTTACTAAACTAAATGTTGCCATACGAGGAAAAAAATAATTACAATTATGTTAATTTATTTTATTCAGATAATTTAATATTTTATTTTAAAAAATTGGGGTTTCACTAGCATAGCTATAGTTTGTGGCTATTGGTACAGGTGTTGCATTGAGTGGTGTGAACGGAGGTGCGGTCCCAATTAATAATGATGATAATTAATTAATTAAACACCAACAAATCTGCATAAACGTCTCAATCGCACATTCGTGTCACCAACACCCAATGTATTGGCGTAACACTTGCGCAAGCGTCTAATAACGCACTACCATTGTTCCATGTTTTGCCACCAGAGGCCGTGGGACACGCTCCCAGCTTCATAATACGCTACATGGGAAACGTCTGCTCGTATGTGCTACATTTTCACAGAGTATTGCGCAACAATAGAAGGAAAACCATCGTTGTATGACCTTAATATTATCTGAAATTTTAGGGTCGCCGCACATCATGCGGCCGCTCGCCGCCACAAGGAGGCGACTTTATTTATATTCGATTTCGGCCGTTCTTCATTTTCAGGGACATAGGAGTGTGAGCTACAAGCAAAAATACGTATCATATTAAATGAACTACCTCGTACCGCGTTACTGGTAGCGACTAGGAGTATTTTGAAGTGTGCCTACAGTCTACTACTTACTTAGTGACATGTGTGTGGTGGCTATAAATAAACATTCTCCCCCTTACTCATTAAAAATTACACACTTGTTGAACACTGTTCTAAAGTGACATTTCCATACTAAACGTCACTTTAAAACACTGTTTATCGAGCGTTTAATTTTTATTATTAAGAGGGTCTGAATTTCTACGAATTTTGCAGTTTTGGAATGCAACCCTCTTCATTTTGCATACTTTGTCTAAAGATCGATCTGACTTAATCTTTTCTTCTTATACTTCTTACTTAGTATTTTTGAAATCTTAGTACGGGTCATACCTTTTAAAGGTACGGATCTCTAAAATATACGGCGATGCATATCATACTTTGACGTGTTAATTGGCTCTCATTATTCTAAATAGCTTCCATTGACCTCTGAGCTACTGTAAGGCAGGTCACTTTTACTTGGGTGCTATTACACGACGTGATAGGTGCAAAAGAATTTAAAGAGGCGTTAGTCGGCTAGTTAAAAAGATAACAATTTCAATTGAGGCTTTATAGAAAAGAAAATATTAGGTTCATATTATCTACATAAGGACATTGGTGCACACTGCACACCTTACTATGTTTTATTAATGAGCCACTTTTCACGATCAATTTCAATCCACATTCATAATTTATTATCTAGATTCTAGGTAGAGTGCCAAATTCCAGAAAATGTTGTAAAACTTATTTATTTACGAATTCAATGTTTTCTCCATAGAAGATAACTCGTTTTGATTAGTACAAATTCCAAATTAAATAGTCTCAATAATAATAAACACTACCAAAAACTTTTTGTATTCTTCTTGTCGAATTGTTCTTTATCAAATGGTGTTTATTGAAACGTTTTGATTTACATGTAAGCTGAAGGTTTATGTAAGCAGATTCTATTTTGCAGTTGCTGTTGTCAATTTTTATTTAATAACAAATAGTTAATAGCACATTGTTTTGCTGTCTAGAGCCGTTTTGGTTTAAAGTTTTTTCCCAAAATTATTGTCAAGGTTACTTCCGTGCATTTTCAAAGTATTCAATTGGATTCTGCTATTATTTCTTTTCCTATCTCTGCGGTGGCGTTTTTGTATTGTTTGCGGAATTATATTAACATTTTTATGCGAGTAATTCTTGCAGACTACAATGCTTTAATCTTTTTAAACATGCGATTTTCATACAGATATAACCGCAATGCTATTCTGTTGTAGATAACGCATTCGTATTTTATTTATAAAATCATTTATTAGTACGAGTTTGTAGGCGCTTTTCAGGACACTTTTACACTTATATTTGAGTTGTAACTTACTCGTATTTTGATGTATGCCTTTGCTGAGTTTTCCACTCAATAGCTAAAGGCTGCATAAGGTAACATTCCCATTCCCACCACATTGATTGATGATCAAGAAGTCAATGTATCAATAAACTGGTAACCGTAATTACAGCAAAAAATCACTCTACATGTTAGATAACTTCACCTACTCACGCTACTGTCGCTTTTCAATATATGTACTTGTTATAGCGACCTACTCTTACATCTTACTACGGTAGAGATCCTACTTGTACTACTAATATTATAAATGCGAAAGTTTGTGTGGATGTTTGTTACTCTTTCACGCAAAAACTACTGAACGGATTTTGATGAAACTTTACAGTATTATTGATTATAACCCAGAATAACATATAGGCTATAATGTATGGTGATATGTGACAAACTAAATTTCACGCAGGTGAAGAGGCGGGCAAAAACTAGTTCATAATAAACAAGTGTGTCCTTGCAGGTTTCATGAATATCTTGATGACCGCACTTATAAATGGTACTTTGGGATTTCTATCGCTCCTTTAGATTAATAAAGTATTGAGTGTTTAAGTCGAAGAGACGAAAAAAAAAATTACTACGAATGTTTTTAATCCATGAGACTTCGTCCGCGTAGATTCCCATACAGGAGAGCCTCCTATCAGCCAGGGCGGGACACATAGCTCGTAATTCTGATGGCCGTTGGGGTGGAAAAGTTCTCGAGTGGCGATGACAGACGATCTGGCGAAGGTCGCGGGAATTACCTGGATGCGGGCAGCGCAGGACCGGTCATTACGAAAATCCTTGGGGGAGGCCTTTGTCCAGCAGTGGACTTCGTTCGAAAACGAACGAATTATCAGCCTATTTACTATTCTAATGTACTCGTTTAATCACTAACTGTATCACACATTCAACTTATCTCAGTGAGCATGGTACTTCCATCGCACCCTTTCGTGTGCCATTTGCCTGAGAAGCGTAGCCGTGAAGGCTGGCCATTGTTGACATGATGACCGGCTGTGACCTTGTACCATCATGATTTCGACAACTTTCTGGAACTACGGTTACTTGGTAAACTTTCACCCTTAAAGTAAGAATATTATAATGCGAAAGAATCTTTAACATTATTTTGGCATTAAGATTTTTACTTTACTTGCAAAAGTATACATAAGACTTCTTGTGTTCATCACCATGAAACAGTTTTAGAGCCTCCTTGGTCGAAAAAATAGGTAGTAAATATTTTTTTTTTATGTGATAGGAGGCAAACGAGCAGACGGATCACCTGATGGTAAGTGATTACCGTCGCCCATAGACACCCGCAGACCCAGGGGCGTTACAGGTGCGTTGCCGGCCTTTAAGGGTTAATAAGGGTAGTGTTGTTTCACATATTATTTTTTCAGGAAATGTTCATGTTTTCATTAACAAAAACACGTTTTACAATAATTTACTTTTAAAATTACGTACTGAAAAGCTAGAGCAGTTAAAATTTATCAAAGAAGTTCCTTTTAAACTTATTGTGGCTACTATAACTATAAAAATAAATATCGTGTTATCATACTCGCATGATGACATTGCAACGTGTAGTATTAAGCCTATAATAAAGTGGGCGTGTAGAAGCATTTTGATGTATAGCCCAAATAAACAATAAAGTTACAATTATCCATTTGACCATGTAACAAGAGCGTACATTTGTCACTGTCCCGCCTCTGAGATACTTTTAATTTGGAACACAATGGAACTGTTCCCACGGGCCAAGTGCAGGCTATGTCTAAAAAGTTTAAGTTTAAAAAAATAATTAAAATAGCATTAGAATACTTCTACAGTAGTTTCGAACTGAATATATTGGTATTTAGGTCACGAAAGTCTACCTACTTATTATTTGAATTAAGGATTTTTATAAAGTCAAAATGTCTTTTTGTTATTATGTACGACACTATAATGTTCTCTAGTTTAGCAATGAAACAACTCAAATAGTTAAAATATTCATTACTACAAAAATATTTACATTACATTGAGTATTCTACACGTGAAGCACTGAATAAATTAAACCGAATTACCTCAGTGTCCTTGCATCGCCCTCTTGGCTTCATCCATGGATCCCTCTTCTCCCAGGATCTGGACGTTCCTGACCTGCTTCCTGGTGGGCGGTGCTGCGGTGGTGAGCTCGGTAGGGGGTACTGGAGTAGGCATAAAGTCAGGGTTGATGGCCAGCATCAGCATCTTCAAGAGTAACGCTTCCCGGATCTCAGGAGGAAGGAATTCAGGAGACTCCTCTATACGATTGGATGACGAACCAGTAGTGTCATATGGCCTGTTATACAACCTCCTCCGAGGAATATACCGTTGGCTCTCATACTGCTGATTATCGTAGTTGTTCATCTGGTTGGAATAAGCATCTTGCTGTCTATATTGCTGCTGATTGTACCGGTAATCGTAGCGGTCATCCTCCTGATACTGACGGGACATTTCGTACCGATTGTACTGGTATCGGGGCTCTTGCCTGAAAAGCGGCAAAGGCTGGTACGGAGGTCCAGGAGCGACCAACTGGTCCATCAAAGCTTGCAGTTTATTTTGCCTAAGTATGAGTATCTGTAACAATCTCTTCAAATCTCTTGTACTTACTGGCGCTGATATCTGATTCATCTCGTCAACCGGTTCATAACGTGGCTGATATACAATCGGTTCTGGTTGAGGAGTTGGGCGGTATGGATTGACAAACCTTGCCTGGTAACCATGAATCGGTACTCCTCTGTCATCCACTGGAATTGGTATTATCCTGGTCACCGGTCTCACGTCATAAGGAGGCACTGTCACTGGTTCAGGAGTGGTCCCTTTCGTTTGTGGAGCTGGTGTAGTTTCCTTCAAGAACTGCGGCTCCAGTATTTTGTTCTGGTATTCGTAGTGGAGAAAGGGCCGCTGGTTTCCAATGGGTATAGGAGCTCCGGGGTTGTCTTTCAAATACTCGTTCGTTCGAAACTGGATAGCGGTGATAGGTCTTCTATAAATAGGTTGCTGGTATATACGCTCATCCACCTCCCTCTCAGGAGGAATATGAACCACTGGCACTGGATTTGAAGTCACGACGTTTTCATGATCAAAAACACGACCTGTACTAGCTTCGACAGTCGTCTCTTGGTCCTGATGTGACGCATCTTGGTACTGCTGCTGAATCTTTTGCCTCGCGGCTACCAAAGAATGTATGGGCACTAACCTTGGCCGTGGCGTGGTGGTGGTGAATAGCGGCCGCACAGTTCCAAGAGATAAGTGGCTTCCATACACGTCAGTTGAGTCATCACCCACCGATTGTTGCAGACTAATCATTCGAGGATTAGGGCTGGTACCGATTAACTCACGTCGAAACGTATTGGCTTTATTATTATCACTTTCAGCTTTTTCAGACATGTGTTCGTAAACTGGCTTAATTGTTACAGGCACTTTCGTTGTCGTTTGTTTCGTAATTAAATCATCTTTCGCTGTGGCCGACATTGGTTTTAATATTTGAGTTCTAGTTTTAACACTTTCTTCTGATTTTGGTTTGTAAAGGTTCAAAATGTTGCTTGTGGTTTCTTCAACCTTTTGTTTTTCGGTGGTCGTTTCAACATAGTTCGTAGTGGCTCTGGTAGAAGATGAGATCGGCCTCCTTCTGGGGATTGGCTGAATGACCGTGCCTTTGGTGGTATAGCTGGATCTGGTAGGATACACAATCGTGGCTAGAGGTCTCCTAGTAGTCGATGACACGGTTTTGTTCACTCTTACTATCATTGTCGGCGTGCTGGGGGTGGTGCTGGTCGACACCGGCACCGGCGTACTGTCACTTGACGAAGTATAAGTCACACGTTTGATTTCGCCATCCTTATCGATGTATCCGAAAGTCCCCTTCACATTTCCCAAAACATCCCTGCTCTCGATCTTGAAGGTCCCATCATCAGCTTCGTACCCAATGGTGTACGAGCCATCTTCGTTCAGCCGCCGTATTTGCTTGACGATTTCAACTTTAGAAGGGTCGGCTGTTTCGCTCGCTTTCAGAATTTCTTTGGTCGAGTTGGTTGTAGTTTCTATTTCTATTTCAGTGGCATCTTTGGTGGTATTAGTGGCGGTGGCGGTGGCGGTCGAGAGGCACGCGAGGAGGACGAGGAGGATCATCGCGCTAGGGCAGCCGCAGCGGCATGACGACGCTACGGCTGCGCGGGCACACTCCACCCGCCTATATAAAATACGCCCCACTCGCGTCCTCGCCGTGCGAACGCCTTGCGCAAACTCACCTATTGTTGTCATTTCATTATCTGAAACGGAAAATCTTTTTTCATAGCATCTACTCGTGCAAGATCCCAATTGTTTAATTGTCCAGGTCGTTTTGTAAATGCGTTAACATGTGCACATGTTAAAGTGTTTTGATGGCACGGAATATGGTTCGTCTAAGGTCATATTTGGACGAAATGCTACCATTGTGTGGAGGTGCAATCGGCGGATTGTTTTTAAAATATTGCTGGTTAATTAGTGTTGTGTTTGTCTCGTGTTTCCCACGCGGCTACTCAATGTCACTTTTAATTGCATCGCGCGGTTTTCGGTTCTGAAATTAATTTTGGGTAGGTAGATGTTGATTCCGCAACGTACCCAAATACTCAAAGGCAATCTTGGGCAGTTTGCGGTTATTCCTAAATAAGTATTTTATTAAGATTCAGGTTGCCCACAAAATGACTTCACCATATTAGAGTGTGTTGTTATTTTAACCCTTCCCATGGTTTTCTATGGACTGTGGGATAGAATATTCCATTACCGGGCTGTCCGTGGGAACTCTAGGCATTATCCCTAGCAAGGTAGCTCATGTGGCTTTGTCTGTGCTAGAACAAAGGTACTATTGTTGTGTTTATTTGAGCAGAACTAGAAATTACTGTGTTAATGTTTTTTTAACGGCCATTGCTTGATGAAAAGTTATAACGCAATCTCATTATCATATAGACAGAAATCTAGACAATTACTATAAATAACTAGAGATGGGTTTCCACCCGGGTAAAAACCCACATGAGGGTAAAAACCCAATAAAAACCCGTTTCATTCCACCCGTGGGTGTTTACACCGGGTGAAAACAAATAATTTTATAATTATTTCAATTGGTATCTTTTCTTTATTTTTATTGAATTTTTCTCATTTAAGTTTATTGATTAATAAGTAATAAGTCAAATTTAACACTAATTATGCATTTATATCGTGGCCAAATCGTAAAATTGATCACGTTATGATGATGTGACCAATTACACTAGTTTACAAGGTTTTTTACCCAGAGATGAAACTGATATGTATCGTTAGAGTTATTAACCCTTACTTAAAAACTGAACTTAAAAAAAATTTAGGACGTCAAATTTTGTTAATATTGATTATGTAAATTTTTATCATTTTTATACATTTATTTCTCAAAACAACCAAAAATGAGTCGTATTACTCCTTCTTTTATATTAATTAGTATCAGTTTCCCTTATTAAAGACCAACAGCAATCCGCTTACATATTTTTATCCCAAATTCCTTGGTATCTTTCCTCAAAAACCTTCAAATCCTGGTGAAAACTTTCGCCATGCTCAACACTCACGCTTCCCAGGTTCTCAGGAAAAAAATCCAGGTGACAATGTAAAAAATGAATTTTTAACGACTTATTCACACCCATTCTTTGGTAATTCCTCAATAATTTGGAAACAATTTTTGCATAATTCTCAGATAAATTTATAGTTTCTCAGGAAACTTTTCACTACTGCTTTAAATTAATATCAAGCATCTTTCCCTTACTGGAATTGCTGGGTAATAACTCCTTCAGATTGTAGCACAGGTCTTGTGACTGATGCAACATCAAGATATTGTATGTTCTTGGTTTTTGTTGTTAAAACCTGTAGTTTCAGTGAGGCAGAAGTAACAGACATTAGTGTGATTTGTTGGTTCTCTCCATAACCTTGGGGTGCCAATTCGTATATGTTTTCTTTTTCCTGCAGCCTAGTGCAATAATATACTCCTCAAATTTTCGCACACTACACCAGGAACCCATTTTTTATCAGGTTTGTTACCGAGATTAGAAAGTAATAGAAATAGGCCGGTTTTACGGCCTTAGTGACTGGTCTCTTCTTTTTTGACAATATAATTTGGCCACAAACTTAGCAAAAGTTATTTGGGCTTAATTTACACTGCCTTGGTGACATTTTAAAACAAGTGAAAATGTTAAAATAATACTTAAACGCAATTAAAATAAAGTAGAAACTCCGTCACGGCTAACAAGACAGCTTACTTAGGTTAATGTGGATATCTCAAAAACTTGACGTGATAAAAATATGAGACGTATATTTTTGTAATAAGGGGGCTGATAGAAAACACATCCAATATGAATTATCTTTGGGTAAAAGAAAAACTTTTTTTTTGTAAACTAGTGTTATTTTATAAAATGGTGTTATTTCAAGAATCGTTGAACCGATTTAGAAGAAATTTAGTAGGAACACAATAATTTGTGATCATGGCAAGGACATGGGGGGGGGGGGAGGGGTGGATGCCAAAGATGCCAAACTTTCTCTTTGATGACATTACGGTATAAAGTTACAAATAACAACACCAACTACAAAGTACTTCTGCTTAAAAACTTGAAATCGAACCGCCCTTCCGCCACTGTAACGCATTGTAACGTTTTTCAAGACCTCCTCTCCCCCCAGATTGCATTACGTAACACTAGAATGCCCCCTTAGCAACAAATACCACTTCTCACTTTAAAAAAACGCTATTTTTGTTTTCACCCACCAGAATGGGTGATAATGGGTAAAAACCGGGTTTTTACCCAAATCACCCAGTTTTAACCCAATCGGGTGAAATGGGTTTTTACCCACTACCCATTTCTATAAATAACTGGAGCCTATTGTGGCGTATTACATGACCTAATTGCGTACATGGTTTATGAAGTTACATAGCTTATGTTGATAATATGATTTTCACTTTTAAAAAAATGTCCCATAACAGTAAAGTGAATGCGCGTAGGAAAGTTTTATTAGTTAGCGCCGAGCTACCATTGCGCAACGCGTTAGATTGATAATGATAGTTAAATATGTAATAGAGCTAGGGCTGGTACTGTAATTTATCAAGTAGCTAGCTCTACTACTCATGTAAGTAGCGGCTATAAGTACTTAAGTAAAACAAAAATACATTACGACGAAGTCAGAAAATAGTTTGGAATCAAAACTGTCAATATCTAACTTTGTCTAGTTACGAGTAACTTACCTAACCTAAAATCACAAGATAATGGACCTAGGTAGGTCCAGTTTTACTTTAGAAACTTCTCTGGGTTCTCTCACAATTTTTGGGTTCAGAGTCCATGAAAAGAGATGTCTAGCAGATAAGTAGTCACTGGTAATTAAAAATCTAAGTTCATTATAATGTCAGATAACTATCTGAAACTTTATCAGGAATCGCTAAAATATGTACACCTACAAACTTACATTATAACTTTTTTATTCAAATTAATGTAGGTAGCTTTAAAAAACTGTGCTCTTTGTAAACTCGTAGCTCAGTTCCTGTAATAAAACATTTAACAATTGAAATTAAGTTGAGATTTAATACCATTCCTAATTTGAATCACACAAAGTTCAAATAATTTTAATTAGCCCTGAATTCAAATGTTTGAAAATCGAACGCGTTTTGACATTTGCGTAGATATGTGGACGTTATTGGCGAAAATGTGATTTCCAAACCCGAAGTGTTCGTAATTAAAAAAGAAGAAGAAATAATTTGACATTTTATTTTATACCGAGATGAAGGGTATGTTGCGATATTGCACTAGTTAGTGCTCATTACATTTTCCGAAAATGTTGAAAATTGCACATTATCCGAAATCTAGAAATTCTAGGTGAATAGTTTTGTTGCGAGAATTTTGGTTTTGGTGTATGTAACTAGTAGAAGAAATTTACTGTAAGTGCGTGTGTTTTTAAAATGTTCCGGTGCAAATTAATTACTAGGACAAAGTTAACTGAAGGAGGAGTATGTTGTGTGGTGAAATAAGTAGCAGAATATATCGGTAAGTACTCACTGTTTTTACGTTAGTAGTTTATTTTTCATGGAAATATGTCACGCAAGATATTATGATTGCAGCTTTTAGGACTATTAATTTTCATTTCCATTTTCCATACTACAACAAAATGTAATGTTCCACCTGTGTGTACCTTGATTTGTTTTAGTTGTGGAAATCAAAGACCATTACTATTTTTTTAAATCGGTTGCTTCATGTAGAAATAGATTAGGCGATTTTTTTTTTCAGATTTTTTAATTTTTTTTCAATTCTACGTCTACATGCAAAGACTCTATTTAGTCTTTTGTATTTGTGTAGATGGGAATAAAACGCGACGAAACTTAAATATTGTAGGAGTAGTTTCAACAAAAAAATCCTCCGACCTACCGCGATCCTAGCAGCCCTAACGTGCGCGTACGCACGCGCCACTCGCGCGTCGCACGTTGTGATATAATCTATCACATTATCAGCGCCATCCACTCTCATCCTCAATACGTTTCCTAAGACAAAGTAAAACTGTACAGGCGACACATTTCTATTGCAATTTCACCCATATTAACTATAACATAAGATCCCATGGATATTACCTTGATGTGCCGTTGACTATACGTGACAAGATCATGGGAACTGACGAATCATTCCGCTTTATTTACTTTTCACTGTTCTGGAAGATCGTTGATAAGTCAATGTCGTAGTCATCGGTTGTAACAACGTTGTAGGTCGTTATCTTTTTCGTCAATCTTGCGCCGCGTGGATTTCAAACCTAACATCATATTATGCTTTATAGTGGCAAATCGCGAAATTATAAGTTTTTTCCCGGTTAGGAAAACTTTTACTGTCTTCACGAGTGCTAGGAAAAAAATCCCGGCCAAAATCTGTTGCTTCTGATCTGTTGATACCAAGATGAACTGGTAACTTGTACAATAACCCTTGACACTTAAATAGGTCCCAAATATAGAAGCAGTGATATTTTCATGAAATCTAACAGTATGCTGAAAAGCGTGTAATCGAACAAGCTAGGTCGATATCAACAGACAGATTCTTTGAATTGTTTTCAGGGTTGTACCCAGCAGTAAATACGCCACCTATCGGTAACTTGTGACTTTAAAACGATGTAAAATAAGTGCGTATGCGATCGGTTGAACAAAGTGCCGGTGAAAGGCGTGTAACAAGCTGTTTTCTGTACGATGTAAATTCAGATGGAAAAGCATAGAGGGCGCTACTTAAATGAAACTTTTTTTATTTTTAAAGCTTAAAAGCTGCGTTAGAAAGATTCGCCTAATAAACTTCGATGTCATCAAATAAGTCAATAGCTAATTCAAAATGGTGCAATTAGGTTAATTGTGGATCATTTCGCTATTAAATTGCACTAGTTCTTTAAACTTTGTCTTTGTGTAAATCACATGTTATCATTCTATTTTTTTATTTTATTTTTAGTTTGTTTCTAATATAAAATACTTACCTTAAATAGATTAACACAACCACGCAGTATCGATTAGCCGGTGGTGGAGGCCTGGTGTGCTGTAGCACAGGGTATCCTAGTACGGACACCAGTCTCTACGAAATACTTATTTTGGTTCCTTGTTGTTATAATTACCCGTTACAAATTGTGACTTTATGTATTTTGTAAAGAGAGAAATAAATAAAGTTATTATTATTATTATTATAAACAGATCTCCAGTTATGTTCTAATCTTACAGTCATTTCAGGTTTGATCTTGGATTCAAATACTCTATCCTAACCCTTAAAGCATGTCAAACAAAACATGACATTTTTTGTTGAATGTTCACATGTTTTTGTTGTTTGTATAGGGCTAAGGCAAAACACGCGCTGGAGACCCGGCTTACTTACTATTGAGCTTTTCTGATGCTTATTATGTTGCTCTACTAAAGTATTTCGCGAGCGCATATCGTGTAACCCAATATCTGCATGCTCTTTTTGCAACTTACTATTATACCACCCACACTTGTTAACAAATTGGCCTATCGCTGTCATAAAAGCATAATCTGTCTGATTTATCTCTGACCGGGGCAGTGGGCGACCGTTATAGCCTGGACCACCTTTCAGCCGCCTAATGGGTGAATATGATAAGTTATCCCTTCAGGTATATCGAAATTGGGTATCCTGTTACATGCTCGTCGTGTATTGTAGTAATGTAATTAATGTTTTACTGTCTGAATAGGGTTACCTAAATACCTACTGATGCCATGGCTGTAGACTTGAGTATTGATAGAAATAGTGTCATGTTTAAATGTATTTACATCGTAAATTAACTACCATAATGCCATATAGTACCGGAAAGCACAGCGTAGGACGTCCACCCGTAAGCTGGACCGACGACCTCATAAAGGTAGCAGGAAGGCGCTGGATGCAGGCCGCCACCAACCGGCCATTGTGGAAATCATTGGGCGGCCTACGTTCAGCAGTGGACGTCCTATGGCTGAAATGATGATGATGATGAATGCCATAACGGTATAGTAGAAGTAAGTAAAGTGAATAGACATTTCTAGGCTTGCTCGTTACTTCGTAGATCGTATCGTACTCTTCGGGTGAGATTCTGATCAAGAGCATTCAATATCCAATATGAAGGTATAATTTTGGACTTATAAACACCAAGAACATCTTGCAAGAGTGAATCGTGAAACTCAATTTTCAACCACTTTAATCATATTAACAACATTAACATAGTGAATAACTATCCTGTCATTATATTTGTAATCCAAAAGGATTCAGTGTCTCGAATTTGGTCCCTTTTTCATTCACTATTGTCCAAATTGGATTCTATCAAATCATATTATTTACTACTTATAACACATCAATCGGTGTGTAAGTGGGCACTCTATTTCGGCCTTAACATTTGCAGCCTCTAGGATCTATATCTAGAGTTCGATTTGTTAATGGTTATCTGTATTGCCACAGATAACGACCATTTGTATTAATCTGTGCTTATTATCTATTAAATACCTATATTTTTAGGTTTATAGAACCTACGTCGATTAATGCCGGTTTTCTATAATCAATTCCAATCCAAATCCGTCTCTCAACTACCAAATTTCAATAGCTTTCGATGTTTTTTTTAAACAATATGAAAGTGTAAATTCCCGGCAGGCATCAAAAATTGTGAATACGAAAGCATTTCTGATACATAAAACAAGTTAAAATTACTTAATTTGAAAAGCTTCATTTTCAACAGACGGAATAAATTACAGGCATAATTATTTATTTATCAAATTCATGTAATTAAGTAAATACAAGTAGGAAATGTGAACGTACTTTTGTTTTGTGCAAATTTAGAAAACGAAAGTATTGTGTAGCAAAAAAATTCACTAACGATGCTTTAATTTCATAAGTAAACTAAATTAAATGAATGTTTGAGTAAACATGTGGGTAAATGAAAAGCAATTTTAATTATGTATGTTAATTAAGGTTCTTGCTTGTGTTAATTTTTAATTTGTACTAATATGATTTTTATTTTTATTCATAACTTACGTAAGATGTTACGTTCATTTTTTCAATCCAATTTGGGTTTGTGGACTAATGGACAATCATAAGTGGTACTACACATTTTTATACCCATAATTACGAAGTACCTATGAATGTTATACATATTTCGGGTCGGCTTTCAAGAATATATCAACACTCATATCCATAATATTGGGTACAATGCTCGTCCTCATCAAACTGACACTTGCACCACACGGGATTCGAACCCGTCACTCTGCTTTTATATTGCCTACGAATTCTTTTATGCAGTTTATATTTTAATAAGTAATAATTAGTTTAGTGCCAATAAATGATAAAAGTACAGTTATTACTTCGAGATTGTGACCTGTAGGCCAAAGATGCACGCCGCGATAAGCGGTTATCACGCCGCGCCATTTTATCGATTTTCCCCATACATTTTGACGTCGATAAAAGTTATCACGGCGCACATCTTAGGCCTATTGATATTGGTAGGCATTAAAACACATGACATAATATAAAAAAATATAATTTATTATTAAAACAAAGTACAAATTACTATTTGTAAGTTTTTACAGATAGCTTCGCGAGAAGCACGCGTCGTGGACTATCACGCGCAAACAATTCGTTTCTATTCTACATTACGACTACGTCTCTAGCGATACGTTAAGTAGTGATTAGATACAGCGTATGTACAAGTGTGGCCGGCCGCCACTGCACAATGGGCGTAGATATGATAGACCCACTCAAAAAACCTGATACAGCAAAGAACCTAACCACGAAGCACTAAAGAACACTTCGGTTTTGAAGACGTCGACAACTGTCAACTATTTATTATCTCTATGAAATATATTTTTAACAACCATAACGTTAAATGGCGAAGAATGTAATGTGGCCAAAGCTTAACATTGATTGGACATGTTGCTTTTCATAATCTTCACAAAATTATTGTTTTCTATCCCTTTTCCTCATAATAATTTAATAAGAGCCTACCATATCCACATTCATTGTATCCACTGTCCCGAACTAGACAAACACACACTGACACACTCGACTGTACTATACGACCAATCGATTCAGGTTGCATATTATGGCCATTCGGACTGGAGTGTGATTGGTCGATAGTGAATTATCTAGCTCAATTATTCCGCTAACCTACAAACTAGAACTGGATGCCGTGTCCTCTGAGGAAGGCGTCGATCTGGCCGGTGGACGCGGACTCCCCGCGGGGCGCTACGTAGTAGAACTGAGGTTGAGCGGACGGCGCTACTCTCTGGGGAGCCTGTGATTGAGAAGAAATAGCTAGCCTTTGAGCCTGTGCCCTCGCCGCGGCGCGATCCCTCTGCAACTGGCTCTGTTGCAACTGCTGCTGCTGAGCAAACAACTGTTGCGAGCTCTGGAACTGAGCCTCAGCCTGCTGTCTCTGGTAAGCCTCTTGAGGATTCTGTTGGTGCTGAATCTGGTGTCTAAACAGCGGCACAGCGGGAGATGAAGGCACAGATGGGATTTGCTGCGATGGGATGAACGGTCTCGCTGAAGGCTGGGGCTGCGCAACGTAAGGCTGAAGTCGCTGGTTCAAGTTCAACTCTCCTTTAGTCTGAGGCAGTGTCTGGAACAGTTGAGTGTTGTAACTGCCGCTCGACGGGTCATACACCAGTTCGGTCGAGTAAAGTGGGTTTCCACTTGGAGCTGGTGAGGCTGCGAGGGTCGTTTTCGATTGAGTCGTCACTGAAGGAGCGGTTGTCGATTGGAGTTGATTCTCGCGGTGGAATTTCGCGAATTCTGCGGCGAAGTCGATCTGTCCAGGTCTCGAGCTGGTCACAGCGGGGGCTGGGGACGGGGAGTAGTTGGGTACAGGGGAAGGCGAGTAATTTGGCTCAGGGCTGTACTGAATCTGGGGCTTGGCCGTCACTTGGACGAGCTGGGGCCTGAAGGTGGTCGCCGGTGGCAGAGTTCGTGGAGTGGTGACTGGGAGAGGACGAGGGGTGATAGCGATCTGTTGCGATTGGTAAGCCGGTCTCCTGATAGCGGGGCGCTGCACAACTCTTTGCCTGATGTGCTGGAGAGGTTCCTCTTCGGCCTCGTCCTCGTCGGCGTCCCTGAAGTCGTTTTGGTAGTATGTTGTGGTGGGTCGGGCAGTAGTGGGGCGGATAGCGGGCCTGGTGGGGTAGTTAGGTTCGGGGTCATCCCTTTCGGCGGATTCAGGGGCGTGGGGTTCTTGTTCTTCGTCGTCAGGCTTGTTGGGGTCGCAGGGGTTGCCGGACACGTAGGTGAACTCCCTTTTGTTGCCGTCGGGGTCGACGTAACCGTATTTGCCGCGGACGACGCAGTCGGTGCCCCTGGTTTCCTCCTTGAAGGAACCGTCAGCCGCTTCGTAGCCAAACGTGAAGCTGCCATCATCATTCACCTGGAAACAAAAACGTCAGATTTTAAATAATTATGAACGCAGAATGTATAAGACTATCGACAGAAAATAATCTGAAAGATATAGATAGAGTGAGAGCCACGTTCATTATGAGTGAGCATCGTCTTAAGTTGAGCAATAAATTAATTACACAAGTAATTGTATCAATCAAAACAGTCATTAGACTAAGGAAAGGTCTCGGTCTGTACCTTATTATAGTTCCTGATGGTCTGCACGGGCGGCTGTTTCGGTCCCTCCTGGATTTGCTGCTGCTTGAGCCTCGAAGGCCGCTGGATCGCGCGCGGCTCATACTCGTCGTCGAGCCTGTCCTGGGCCCTGTACAACGCGTCGTAGGCATCTGCTGGAACTAACACCACCTGGAATTTGGGAAATAGACATTGCTTAATTTATATTGCGATAAAACTGAATGGATGGACTCCACTGAATATAGATTGATTTTTCTTTAAGAGATACCTTATCCCAATTGATAATCGCATCGTCAACAATATGTATTCCAAGCTTCATGCTTTTGAACTCCAATTTGTCTGTAATACTCATGATAATACGAGTAAATGCAAGATTCGTTACTTGGTTTCCTGAAGCTCTCACCTCAGTCTGAGAAATCTCACTTTGCTGCTGTGTCATCCACACTAAATATGAGCAGGTCATTGATTTAATGTCAATACTCAACACAAGATGTCCTACACCTGGTCTCTTCATAAAACCCTCACAGTAGCCTGTCCTTTTGCTGTATTGCCCATAAATACTAAACCAACGGGTCACCAAAGTCTTTCTTTGATTTCACGCCGATGCTTCACTTTTTTCCTGAAGAAACCTTTATCGGAACCTGTCCTTGCTTTTATCGTTCGTTCGTTCGTTTCAGCCGAAAGACGTCCACTGCTGGACAAAGGCCTCCCCCAAGGATTTCCACAAAGACCGGTCCTGCGCCGCTTGCATCCAGGTACTTCCCGCGACCTTGCTTTTATGCCCATAACTAAACCCAAGAAGGTCCTCACCTGGTCTCCTGAAGCCCTCTCCTGCGCCTGGTCGTAGTCGTACTCGTCGACTTGCTGCTGCAGTCTCGGCCGCGGCCTCGCGCCCGCCGCCAGCCCGGCCGCCAGCGCTATGCACAACACCTGGAAACAAGAGAGGACGTGTTAAACATGATTCTTAATCTTTAAAATCATTGCCTATATCAGGGGGGTCCATTGCTGTTCCCTTGGACCTATGGTGCATGGTTGCAAGAACCCATTTCTCCGCCGCCTTCGAAAGGTCGTCAGTCAAAACCAAATTTTAAGCCGGTAGCTGATGCTATGCTAAAATGTCGCCTTAACGTTAAAGACCATAATTTCCCTCAGGTATTTTTTTTTATGTGACAGAAAGCAAACGAGCAGACGGAAAAGAAACATTTTTAATGAAATACTCCTTGAGGATATTATTAAATAGAATAATGTTCATCTGACTTTGTCTGTTCAGAATAAAAGCCTAATTGCAAACAAAATATTGTTTACCAAAGCTTTTGTATATAGGTATACAATAGAAATAACAACTTTACAACACTCATACAAGTTTGTGCAAAGTTAATAAGACCTAAGTAATTAGTTTGTCTCGCATTTTAATTTCTGGACCGACTGAAATAGAATTTGGAAACTGGATAACAAGTTTCCAAATATTCTTGCTCATAATAATTCATTAAGTTTGATAATAAACGTAATAGTTTCTACTTCATTTACTGCAATATTTTACACGGATTCAATTTCCTACACTTCATAATATTTATTCTTATTTGCTTATTAATTCACTATTTTTGAGTTATTGAAGAATGTAATTCGTTTTAACGCTCTATTTCATTTCAAGTTATTTTAAAAATTAGAAATTAGTCAACATTAAAGAAATGAGCTCGTGACTTTTATAATTAACGAAATAGCGTACTTTAATTTATATTTTGTTTTGATAATTAAGCCCATCAAGCAAAGTGTTGTCATGTAAACATGTTTCGACAGCATAAACGACGTAAAGTAATTATACATGACATTACCCTTGGCTATGATTACGATTTGATCGCTATCGCGTTTGCTATGACAGGGCCCTTGAACTTATAGTTAATGCTATGGTACCTGCGTGTGCATGTGTTTATACCCACGTTCATACTGGACAATAAAAACTTTGACAAATTACAATTTATATCATATTAGGTGTGAATGATATGGCGGTTATGCCAAGGTCTTGACACTCCCCGGGTTCTGATTTAGACAACAAAATAATTATGATTATACAGATTGTTCAAATCAAATAATTTATTCAGTATTTAGGGCCTTTCCAGGGCGTTTATATACGTCCCAAATAACCACCCACTTTGGCACATCATATGGCCTGATGCTGAGATTGAATGAGTTTTTGAAGAAAAAAAGAAATTGCGGAAGAAACTCAAGTCTTTAATAAGAATATTATCTCAATAATAATACATAAGCTGTGACTATTTTAGTTGCCAATTTATCTTTACATCCTCTATCATATCGACTCATGTCGAGTAGAGTATTACTTACAATTCATCAGACGGGGACAGGAATCATTTTGTACCTACACAGTTGAAATGTTCTACACCCACTAGCATTTGAAACCTAGACTATAATTTGATTATCCTTGAATAATACATACATACATATTTCAATGTTGAGCAAGTGTATATTTTAAACTTGGTGCAAGGTCGTTTAGTTGCCGCCTGCTCTTAATTTGACACACTTTGTCACTTAATTATGAAAATTAAATCCTCAGTGATCGTTAAGTTTCCAAAGCCAGAAGTCGATAGATTCTATATTTCTGTCTGTATGTGATTTGAAGAAATAATTGCATCCTATTGACAAAGAAGTTAACCAGTCCGTTAGAGTTCTAGAATTAGGTAGTTCGGCAGTCTGGGTTATTATGATATATCGAGATTGTTAATGTTCTTAGATAGTTTCTTATCTCATTTGTAACGTTCGTTAATTTTTCTAAGAAAACATGCGGTATTTTTGTGTCCCATCTATCTGGAATTCTTTGCCATTTGACACTTAGAGCGACCGGTCAAATCAAATCAAATCAAATCAAATCAAATCAAATTTCTTTATTTGCGTAATTCCAGGTACATAAGTGGTCTTATTTGTACCTAGACCTATGGCCTACGTCATCAGGATACATGAATTTTGTAATGACCAGAACCAAAAACTTATAAGCAGAGAGACCCTGGGTTCAAGGATAGCAGCAATAGGTACATCCACATAAGCTCTTAGGAAATGTGACATTTCCCTGACATAAACATTCTAGGAAACGGTTCTACCGTTAACCTCTACGATCGCTGACAACCAGCGTAGACAGATGATCCGATGATGATTCCAAAGCGTCCAATAACCCCACGGTATTGACAAGGCCGCGGGTTCACGAGCACCTCGGCCGTTCACCGGTGACGCAACGGTTATTAGATCACTATTATGCGGTTATTATGCTACTAGAGCAATGGATCTTCTTTAGGTCATCAAGGTTAAGGATCCACTAAAGAGAACTATGTTTATCAACCCCCAGGGCACCCACACTCGTATACAACTACCAAAAGAGGTTGGGACAATAGTAGAGTCATCATTTCGGTCACAGGACGTCTACTATTGAATACTACCCCAATGATTTTCAGATTGACCGCTTGGCAATTTACAATTTACAATCGGTAAACAAGCAATTTCCTGGAGTAATATAATTTATTTAAACTTCAGCATTACTCTCAATTTGTGGTGGTAAAAGTTTCTTACAGACATAGAATAATCTAATTCGTTTAAGGCTTGGTATTTCTGCTAAAGTAGGTATTTCGCGCTGTCAAAATCTGCGCGCGCAATTCTTCGCCGAAGACAGCGTGCCAAAGAGCTCCCGCCACAATTTCCAGCTACATAGTATAGAAATACGCAGTTGGTTAGGTTAGGTCGACTTCCTTCCCTTCAAGCGTCACACTTACAACACTTTCTAATACAAATCATATCCAAGTGATATAAATTAAAACACCTTACAGACTTTTTGGGAATATATTCTAGAATCGAATAAATATGAAATATAACTGAAGAAGTAAACACGGTTCAAANAAAAAAAAGATAAAAAAAAAATTAAGCCACTAGGTCATAAAATTTGAAAAAATCACAAAATTAACGATAACTTCTAAACTATGAAAAATCGTAGAACATACATGGGGGTGAAATCGATAGGTCTAGTCCTCACCTATCACCTGCCTTCGGCTTGACACCTTACAAGAAACACCCTGTATAGATAGAAGATTCAAAGGGCTTCTTACCTTGGGCTGGAACAGCCCCACGGGCGGCTGGTGCGGATGCTGCGGGTGCGGCAGCGGGTGCGGGTGCGGCAGCGGGTGCGCGGCGGGCGACAGCGAGCGCGTCAGCGCGTCCGTCTGCTGGATGTTGAACGCGATCTCTTGCTCCAGCATCTGGCGCTTTAGCTGGAATAGAATATAAGATTAATGTTGGGTCATTCAAGTAATTTTATTTTTATTTATAAAGTAAAAATAATGCAATCTGTCTACTTCATGGACATTCAGCAATATGTGTATTATTAGTCATCTTTTGTGATCCAGGTCCAGTGACAAGGCCACGTCAGCATAAAAGGACAGATTCGCACATGTCTCTGTCTTGTTTAAACTTTGCCGTCCGTGTTATTGACACAAATTTAGAGGCGTTCTTCCTTTTAGGTGTTTTCAGTCTTGAGAATACTACTCTCGGTTTCATCAGCTCCATCGCAAGCTCGTTTAGGTGGTTTAGAATACGGTCTCTGTATTTAACTGAGGGCTGAGTGTGAGTTTACATCAAACGCGCTCACTATTTAAGTTTTTGAAAGTTTCCCACTAGGGGCGCGGTACAATCCGTCATACATTGTTAGCGCCATCTATGGGCACAAGAAAACAACTCATGACGTCAAAGGCGCGTAACCAGAGTGAAGATTTTATTTTATTTTATTTTATTTGATATTTATCTATTAAGATCGCAGCTAAATTCGCGTTGCTCCGCCCTCCTGTCAACTTAAAATCGAACGTTTCAAACACTCGACAATTTGATCTCGTTGCATACAGTCTGTAAACCTATCACTTTAAATAAACGTTAAAACCGTAATTTCAATAATAATTAGTCATTGAAGAGACCCTTATTCCTACATAATATTCGAAAGTCTGAGCTCGAAACATACATTAAACGTTATTTTTTGACGCGCTCACTAGTGAGCGTGTTTGATGAAAACTCACACTCAGCCCTCAGTTATAATTCTCAGTAGCTTCGACTGAAATATTTGTAATATCTCTAGGTTGTAATTAAAGTAATATAAAGCCTTCTACTTGCTACAGGCCACAACCACCGGTTTCTGGATCTTTGGCACCGCGCAAACGAAGGTGACTGAGTTTCTTTCGCCACTTCTTCTCAGCACCAGCCAATATGTTGTTCCGAAGTGGTGGTAGGGCAAGCTATATTTGGGACGTGTAAAGTGCCCTAGAAAGGGCCTATGTACTGAATAAACCATTTGAATTTTGGACTTGAAGGTGGTTGCTAAAAGTCGTGGGTGGTCATTAATAGTAGCACAGAATAATAATAAGTACTACGTACAGAAGTTTTACTTCGCGAAGGTATTTAAAAAAATGTATGCTCAATGTCATTAACAATATGGTGTAATTTAGCCAGTCTCAAGAGTCAAGCACCATTTTGTTGATAAACGTCAGTGATCGGCACTGCGCCGAAGCTATAGGGCTGACTTCGGTAAAATGATGTGACGTGAGGTGCCAAACTGCGGAAAATGGCGGAAGAAATACATGATTTAGCATGAATAATATTAACTACTTATTTACCTCTCAGTGTCTTGAGGCAACTTAAAAAAGTACATTCTGTGTTTTGATTATTATTTAGGCAGTTAAATACTGCACAGTATTTAGTACACCATTTTCTTTATTTTCTTCCATCATACACAAGAATACGCGTGCGTGAGTCAATGTTCGCTCGTATGTGAGGCCTTGTCGAATAGTATCCTGTAGGTGGGCCATCGTGCGTGTTTTGTTTTCGATGTAAACTCGCGGAGATGAACAGGCCTGATAGTAGTCTTAGATAGTATCGCACCTGCTCGGTTTCCATGCGCCACTTGGCGAGCTCCTTGAGCACGTCCTGCTTGTCGGCCAGCAGCTCGTCGGCGTACTTGCGCGTCTTGTCCAGCTCCTGCGTCAGCGCGTTCTTTTCGTCTAGCGCGTGCATCCGCTCTTTTAGGTGCACTTGCAACCTGTAGACAAGTTAAGAGTTAATAATATAATTTAAAAGTACTATGGGCCACAGTTTCAGCTACCCATTTCTGTAGGCCTAAGATGCGCGCCGTGATAACTTTTATCGACGTCAAAATGTATGGGCAAAATCGATAAAATGGCGTGGTAACCGCTTATCGCGAGGCGCGTCTTAGGCCTACTGGTCATGTCGTTTCGTGTCTATCGCAAAAAATCATGAGAGCGAGAGAAAAAACGGAAATAGGTAGCTGGAACTGTGGCTGACAGTACTGACTGGAACCTGTTTAAATTCCATTGGAAATATTCGTTTACACATCTTGCTAAATACCGTGGCATTCATTTGTTTTAACCCTAAGCTGTCCACTCTGAACAAAGGCCTCCTCCGTGGATTTTGTAAGGACCGGTCCTGCGCTATGCATTCAACTACTTCCTGTGACCTTCACCAGATCATCATCTTGCATCTTAAGTGGTCGTAGCTGATATTTTTTAACAAAAATTCCACTAGTTTACCGCTCCTATATTTTACTTGCTGATCGAACATCTGGTTCTCTAATAAACCTTAATAATACATTAGTTGGGGCAGAAAAGTTATCGAGTGGCGACCATGGGCCGGAAGACGTAGCGTGGGCAGGCCTCCCACTATGTGACCGACGATCTGGTGAACGTCGCAGGAAGAACCTGGATGCAGGCAACACAGGACCGGTCACTATGGAAATCCTTGGGGAGACCTTTGTCTAACGTCATTTGGCTGAAACGAATACAGTCCACTTCTTTCATTTCGTCGTTTCCCTTTCTAGACCCCTTAGGCCGGGTTCCCACTATGCCGGACCGGCATTTCTGCCGGAAACCGGACAACGGTGTTCACATTACACCGGATCACCGGATCCGAAATCCGAGCCGAATGAAGTGCGGGGAGCACGGGCGCGGCGGGGTGGGCCGCAACTCGTTCACATTACTCCGTTCCGGTGATTTTACCGGCATTTTGTAGCGACAAAACGCTCGGTATAAATGCCGGGCTCGGCGAAAACGCCGGATCCGGGATAATGTGAACAGCTTCATACAATTTGTACCGCCGCTAGGCTTTCCGGCGATTTTACCGGACCGGGAGATGTGCCGGTCCGGCATAGTGGGAACCCAGCCTTAGCAGACGTACCTGTCGTTAGACTCGGACAGCAGCTTGTCGACGGTGGCGGAGAGACGCGTGTTATGCTCCTCATTCATACGCAGACGCTGGTTGAGACGCATAAGCTCCGCGTTCTTTTCTTCGACGTTCGCTTCCAGCCGCTGGATGCGGTCTTCCGCGGACCCGTGCCTTTCTTGCGCCTGGATAGAGAAATGAGGATGTTGAAGGGATTTGTAAGCATACTATATAACATACACAAAAGTTAAGGTTCTTGTAAGGGTAATATTCGACGATTTGATACTAAAGCCCGGTCTGTGAGCACGTAAAATTTTGTCCAATGACCCCAAGCTACTCATCCTTATCGCTCGCGCGTAAATATATTGCTGTCGCGACTGTGCGACGGGCGGCCGCAGAGAGTGTGCAAGCGCGACAGCAACATAATTACGCGCGAGCGATAAGAATGGGTAGCTTGGGGTCATTGGACAAAATTTTACGTGCTCATAGACCAGAAAGGTACATATAAAAGACAATATTATGTCAATATTGCGTACCATATAGTTCAAACTATATTGGCAAAATACTTTGCAATTATTCGTCAAAATTATAAGGGGAATTTCAAGCGATAATACCAAACGTCATTTGAGTATTACCATAATTTATAGTTTTGTGAGTGCAATATTGCTAGTCAACGCACAAATTGCCGATCAATATTGTTGGTTAGTAAAAACTTGACTACAAAAGGAAATGATTCCACACTAAAATGGATCATGAGATAATGGTAAAAAGCAGTAAGCGGGTCTCAAAAAGTTTAATAGTTTTTCAAGGGGATTTTATTGTACATAATAAACGAAACCAGGATTTAGGCACAATTCAACTCGGTAATTTGTATATTTCATATCGATTATTTCGTTTTTTGATATTATAATAGTTTTCCTCAATCAAAATTACAAATTACTGAGTTGATGGACTTACGTTACAGTAAATAGTACATCAATCTTAATTATATTCACTTACCAATGAATGATGAACCAGTTCAGTGATGTCACAACCGTACCGAAATTGCACCTACATATTTGCAAAAAGATCATCATCTTCTTCCCCGTCAATATCGAAGAAGGATCGAATGTCACGCATCTTTTGTGTCCACGCATTTACATCAAAATTGGAATCGTATTGAATTTGGACCTAAAATAATCCAATATGTGGAGGCAGCATTGAACAGCATACTCAAACTTGCCAATGTAAATAGGGGATCGGGGAGTATTCACAAATTAGTGATTGAGGTTGACTAACTCATAAAGATTAAATAAGATAAAATGACGATTTTTAAAAATATGATTGTGTCACGTATGAGTGGGCTCACCACAATAGTCGAGCCGCGGCGGGATTCGAACCCGCGTTCCCCGGATCAAGAGTCGGCCGGTCACCGGTCAGGCCCCTTCACTGTGTTCGGCTATCGTGGCTTCAAACTTCAATATATTTTAATTATTGAGTCAGTTCACTTCCCAGTCCGATCCCCTAATTCCAACACTACAAATAACTTACCGTTCACCCGGACTTTGACCACACACACACAAACTACACAAATATAAAGAATTGGATTGGAACATACACCAACCTGGTTGAGGGCCTCCATACGGGCCTTCAACTGCTCCTCCATCTCGGGCAGCGACGACATCTGGGCCAGCTTCTGCGTGGACAGTTCCAGCTTCTCTTCGATGGCCGCGATCTTTTCTTCTTGCAGCTGCGGGACACGTGACATGCGTGAGGCGAGGTGGGGTATGTAGGTATGTGATTGGGCCATTTTCGTAGAATATTTGTGTTTATTTATTTATTTAATTAAAATGCAAGTGAGCTTACAGATAGTAAGTAAGTAAGTAAGTGTAAGATTGTGTAAGTTTGCAGAGTAAATAGTAGTTATTTTAAGATCTCAAACGTTTCACGCGTGATTGTTAGAGATTAAAACGGAATTCTTTGGTGGGAAACGCGAATTAAAACGGGCTATGTCTACAGTTCCCATTTTGGGTACGACGTTGTAAGATTTATGTCTGATTAAGACGTTTACAGAAGAAAAGGTTATATAAAATTTAGTATTAATTCATTGCAATCTCAACCACTTTAAAAAGTGTTTAAATAAAATTAGAAGAAACAAAGGTTTCATCACAATATCATAGTTTGCATGGCCTAAAAGCTTTCTACGAAAATGGCCTTTACAATGAAATCTACTGTTTTATACAGATACAGGTTGTTAAGTATTAGAACTATTCACACTGTTACTCGAATGGGTTGTAAGACTTGTTAGTTTATACAATTGTTGGTTGAATGATGTTGTATCACAATTCACCATTATCTACAAAGCACAAAATTACCGTATCCACTTTACCATTAATGTGAAGAACCACCTATTACATATTTCATACATATTTGAAGAAACTAGTAACACATTTCAGTCCAAATCTTTGATTGCATCATTTACTCAGCAACTGTCACCCAGAGGTTACAAGTAATTATTGTGCGACTTGCCCATGTTTAAAGGCCACTGTTGACATTTACAAAAAAGTAAAAAATAGGTCTCAGCGTATTTGCAGATTCAAGGATGTTTTCTTTTCTTCTTAAACTTTTCGCGCACTGGCAGCTAATAATTTTGCAATCCTAACTTCATCATCATCTCAGCCATAGGACGTCCACTGCTGAACATAGGCCTCCCCCAATGCCTTCCATGTTGCCCGGTTGGTAGCGGCCTGCGTCCAGCGCCTTCCTGCTACCTTTATGATGGCGTCGGTCCACCTTGTGGGTCTTAATCCAAACTTTACCAGTACCTATTTTGGCCAGTATGTAGACGCTGTTAAGGTTGAATTTAGTTTGTACCTTGAGCTGAGCCTGCTTGTGCTGCAGCTCCTGCTCAAGCTTCTCATTGAGGTCGTGTAGCGACGTGGACTCGCGCTGCGCGTTGAGGTACCGCTTCTCGAGGGTCGCTATCCTCTCCTCCTGGGGACACACAGGAGAAGAAACCATGAAACATAGGAAACATAAACAAATGTACAGAGGAAACTTATAAGTAAAGGATAGACTTGGTTAAGATAACAACAGGACATAATGCAGACTCAAGTTCTCAAGGTGGCGTTCTCAGCAGCAGCGTGTGAGGGGTTTTGCCGCGAAGATCGGCTACGTAAACCATCTTCGGGCGCACCAGAGCCTCATCAGTTAGAAGTCGAAGTGGTCGCCATAGCCGAAATCCGGTCGAATTAATCATCATCATTATGAAGACTTAGAGAAAGATTGAGTGATAGAGAAGTGGCAGTAGACAGACAAAAGTATGTAGGTTTATAAATAGCTTTATAATTTCGTCATCACAAGTCTCACCTGGTCTTCTTTCTGCGCGACATTCTCTCTCAAGTCGCGCTGCAGCTTGGAGCACTCGTCCTGTTTCTTGGCAAGCTCCTTTTCTCCCTTGGACAGGCGTTCCTCGAGCTCGGAGACCTTGTTGTTGAGCTCGGCCACCCGCCGCTGCCACGAGCTCAGTTCCGCTGACTGCAAGCGGAGTAAGGAGTATTAGTACTCGAGTACGAATCGGTGTGAGTTTTAAGTTGGGAGCGAAAAGTACGCCAAGAATATCGTTAATATTTTTACAGAAGGAATGATCAGATTTTTTAAAACATGTTAACATGGATAAAAATTATTTCAAGAATAAAAATTCCGACAATTTTACTGAGATTTGTATAAAATTTACTTGAAATTAAATGGCAGTAGCAATACGAATTGTCTTATACATACACAGATAGCTAAAGCCATACCATTTTTTTTAATATACTGAAGCTACAAGTAAGAAGCTCACAAGAACATAGGCGTACCATTTACCGGTTATGATACCGAAATGACCGAATAATATTTAACATTCTTGTTATTCCATAACCAAAGTATAAATAATTAGATGCCAATAATAATTGTGAACTTACCTTTCAGTAAAGCTAATAAGGATTGTTATAGTTGAATAATTATATTACTTGTGGCATGAAGTGTCAGTGTTAGTGGCAGTGAACCTAATGACATTGTTAGTATGATGCTGTGACGTGTCGTACTACTGGTAGGGCTTACATGCTCTAAAGTCTAATGCACTAAATACAAACCCTTGATGTATCTATAAAAATATAGATTAATCAAATAAATGATCAATCTACAACATACACAAGTCACAGCGTTGATCAGTAATTATCGAGTAGATTAATCAACTGTTAGCAGATCACTCCACTGATTAGTGATCAACTCACTGTGATTGACTGAAGGGTTTGTATTTGCAATATTACTTACATTTCAAGGTACTGACTTTTTTGGTTAGATTCATGCTTTTATCCCTATTTTTTTTCTAATTTTCGGGTCTAACTTAAAGAGTAATAAATAAATCAACAAAATGAAACTAAAAACGGTTTTGGTGTACGTAAATGGCCGTGGTGTTCTAACTAAAATTGGTATAAGGTGGATTCATAATTACTTGTATGTTTGCATATCATTTTAAGCTTTGTTTGGTTAAATATGGGGCTCTATCATACGATGCAGCGAGCAAGCATATGCAATGAGGGTTTTCGCGAATGAAAAATCCGCCAGATGGCAATACGTAGACGCGAGGTCCAAATGCTGCATGATTGGTTATTTTTGACATGACATTGACAGATATGTAAAAATCCACCAATCACGCAGCAGTCAGACCCCACATCCACGTCCTGCCATCTAGCGGATCTTTCATTCGCGAAAACCCTCATTATTTCAGCAATGACCAGGGTTAGTGCAGATGGCGACACTGTCGAGCAATGGCGCCCGCACCCTGTGACTGGGGCAGGTTAGTTTTCTTATGAATGCTGATGGATAATAATTTACATAAAATATCCCACTGTAAATCTTATTAACTGCTTGAAAACTGCATTTTAGATTCTATTACAGCATGTTATTTGCTTATAAGTTTGCTTACAATTTGAGCGGTGAGTTTGGTCCGCAAAAAATTATAACGTAAAAAATAATTTAAATTCATCTTAGGCACAGTAGATAAATCAAACAGTACGGAAGCTTCATACAAACGCTCGAAATCAGACTCACGCACACAGACGCACGCTTTACACGAGCTCTAAGCGAACCTCGCAGTCCATCCGTCGCGAGTGTCGCGCGCGTTGTGTTTTTAATAATAATTTTATTGCATGCACTGTCCGCTGTATTTTTAAAAACATGCCACGAGTGTATTGCGTAGTATACGGCTGCTTGAACTCGGCATCTTCAAAACCAGAACTTTCATTTTTTAAACTTCGTAACAATTCTGAATTGTAAAAATGAGGCAATAGGTATGTGAAAGTAAGTATCCGGTATTTTATTTATGAGAATAGATATTCTACCGGCCTCTAATAGTACTTAATCAATTTATTCGATTATGTATTCGATCATTATATAACCTAATTAACGTTTTATTTTTTTGTTAACTACTTAGTCAATTAATTTATTCCATTAGGTATTTGATAATTAAAAAAACCTAAATAAACGTTTTAATAAATAAGTAAGTAAGAACCTTATTAATTTTATAAAGATTAAGAGTGCCAACCCTAACACTCAGTTGAAGTGTAGGTATTTAACTCGCCGAAAGGGCTAAGTTTCCGTACTGCTTTAGCTCATATATATACTGTGTCTTAGGTATATTACAACGAACATAAAATAGTACGGTATTGAGTGAATAAGAAATGAATAAAAGTTGTCATCTTTTGATCCAGGAGACACAATTAACATTATTTTTGATCGTAACAATAAAGAAACTTTCAACACAAAACTTCTGAAGTTATGATCCATCAGCAAACACAACATTGTTAGTTATATCATTATAATGCATGGCTTGACTGGTTTGTTCTCTCTAACCTGCTTGGCGATCGTGTTATGGAGCTCAGTGATACGCTTGTTGTTGTCCGATTCGCCGTTTACATTATTTTCCTGCGTCCACCATCACAAAATAAAACGTTACAAACGAAAAACACTAAAACAGGGCAACATACGCATAGGTGGCGCCACTGTCGTGTTACAAAACGACAGAGGCTCCCTCTACAATCTATTTATTCGTTCGCGAGTGGTTGTGTTAAGCTTAAGTTTTACTCAATTTTGTGCTTAATATTTTACAGTTTGTTGAATACAACTGTTTGCAAGAGATTTTTAATTGCTATAAAAATTGAGTAAAACCACAATTAAGGGCAGTAACATCATACTAAGACTTGTACATTGCCATTCTCTAAGCTTCTATGAAATCATAAACAATAATAATATGTTTTATGTCTAATTGTTCGTGTTAAGTGTGATGTGTATCACTGTTTTAATTCAATATTGAATCTTATAACAAACAGATTAATATGTTAAACAACAACTATAATCAAAAAGATAGATGCAAAGTTAATTTACACACTTTTATACAAGAGAAAATAAGTACGGAAAATATATTTGTACAATGTACATAGTAGACAGACTTGAACTTCAGAAAATACCAATTTGTACACATAAAACGATAAAGCTTGTAAAAATATGTAAGTAGGTAAGGTATGTCATTTTGTGTTTTTAAGTTCGATATATATTTAAGCACTCTATAATACTAATCAGTACCAAAAGAAGTTCTTGAGTTGTACCCACAACTGGATTGCGATTCTTATAATTAGATCAAGTGCGATATGTGGCTACTGATTAATATTATCTTCTTTAGTTAGTTCTAAAACTATGTATATCAACTTTTCTAAATTTGGTGTCTTGTGTTCAGATAGATAATATAATCTTTAAATTTTCGCAGATATTAATTGATATAGAAATTCTGTCAAATCAGATATAGTGGCCTGTGATGCTTGACTGACATACCAAACCAACTAGCTCGCTAATTTATTTTTTAGAATCGATTTCTGGCTCTATTATCGCTCTTGCTGGCATCTCGCTTTGCGTGAGAGAGACAGAAAAATTCGAAACTTCGAAAAACGTTGGGAGTAGTCCTGCAGAATGGAACAGTAAATACTCCTTTAGCCTAGCCGCAGACCACCGAATTTTTGTTGGCCAGTATGAACAAATATGGAAGTGCGCATGTCAACGTGAAATTGTGAACTCTGTCAGTTTATAATATAACGCGTTAGATTGTAAACTAACAGTGGGTTAGGTTAGGTTAGATTGTAATTTAACTACGTCAGATTATAATCTGATGGAATTCACAATTTTACGGTGACACGCACATTGGTAATGGTATCGGCCGATTCTTCTTACAAATTAGAATTGGGCCCAACTACCGGCCGACTAAAAGTCTGCAGTCTGCGGGAGGCTTACACCTACTTCTAACCATATTCTACTCTATTTGCAGGCATATAAAGTGAGTATTACCTTAGGTTGCTGAGGCTCGCCGTTCTGGTCGGGCGAGCCGGTGGGCACCGTGCCGTTCTCCTTCGGCTTGTCGTCCTGGCCGGTGGACGACTTGTACTGTTGTAACTGGCGATTAAATAGACGAATATTAATGTCTTACAACCATGAAGAAGTATCGAATATTTGCATTATTGACAAAGCAGTATTACTTACTTCTTCTTTGGTTAACGATAACTCTTCTTCTAAGGCCGTATTCCTTTCTAACGCCACTCGTAACCTTTCCCTGACCTGAAAATAATAAAATTTGACTGTTAAGATCATTGTGATTAAATTATTTGAAACTTGATGCGAGGATGACATTCTACATACATATTATTTATTCCTCATTGACTTGTTTGTGTATGTTGTTAAGTCCAGCGCCTTGTGGTGCTCGAAGAGACTCTTGAGCGCCTTTAGAACCTCGACTTCGGAGGACACCCCGGACTGCGCGGCCGCCTGCCGCTTCACCACCGTCATGCGCAGCGAGAGTCGTGCCGCGACACCAGGAATTATGCTGCGCTGTTGAGGATACTTCTCCAGGCTTACCTTCTCGTCCAGCGCCTTGTGGTGCTCGAAGAGGCTCTTAAGCGCCTTCAGCACCTCGACCTCGGAGGACACCCCGGACTGCGCGGCCGCCTGCCGCTTCACCACTGTCATGCGAGCGAGCATCGTGCCGCTACACCACGCATGATGCTGTATCGTTCAGGACAGGTCTCCAGGCTTACCTTCTCGTCCAGCGCCTTGTGGTGCTCGAAGAGACTCTTGAGCGCCTTTAGAACCTCGACCTCCGAGGACACCCCGGACTGAGCGGCCGCCTGCCGCTTCACCACTGTCATGCGCAGCGAGCGCTCGTGCCGCGACACCAGGCATTCTAGGTGCTCGAGTAGCAACTAAAAAAAGAGTAGATAACATGAGAAAAGTAATTGATAATCGCTCATTACACAGGGAAAAGGGTGAGCCAAGTGATCGTTCTCTCATCGAACAGCGGGAAAAGAGTGAACCATGTAATCATGTAACGGTTCACTCAAACAAATGGAGGCCGCGCGCCCCTTCTAGTATAAATGGCGGCACGATCGTAGCCACAGGCGGGCTTAGGGTTAAAATAATGGAAAATATGAAATATCCAACTAATCACGTATGCATAGCAAGATTTCAACTATACCCTCGTCTTTGGTTTAGTGGTTGTCCTACCATAAATCAAACCTGCTATTTCATGCAGGTGTGACTGGTGTATGTGATGCTCTCTCGCTCAAATCTATCTACAAAAAGTTACGGTTTCTTTTAATCATTTATCTAAATCAATACAATCCCGAGGTCGTAAATTAACTATTCAAAATACATCATAATCAAAACAATCACTTGAATCCAACCACAGCCTTTCACATTAAAAGTACCTAAAATAAATCCGACATCCGAGCCTGACCATCATATTAACATTTCTAATGAAGTAAGTACATCGCAGTCCTCCTAGGAAGACGGTCCAGCCGCCATTGTGACTGAATTATTTAGCGCACCTTTCGTGGAATAAGGCAAATGAAAGGACCGGGAGCGCCCGCTCCTACTGTTTTATTGTGTCGTGGTCAGGGTTGACAGAAACAATCAAATGTTAGGGTGAAGGGATGATAACACACTGCTCTTGGCTTTACTCGAGTATCGGAAGAATCTTGTTATTTGCTTTATTCTTCTAGCACTTCATCTTCTGTTTCGAGTTTAGCGCTAATGCAAGGAATCTGGAAAGTGGACTCGTTTTTTCGAACCTGGACTCATTTTCTTCCTCATGTTCCTCTTTCTCATGTTCTTTGCATATTTTTTGACCGCCTTAAAAAGAGGTTTTATGATTCAAGGTTTTATTTTCCATAAACTTGGTTAATTTCCGATTTGTAATATAATGCTATGTCTCTACTCGAATTTATGAATTTGTCTCAATTGAAATATTCAGAAAATCATCTTTTACCCCTAAAATATAGAGTGTAGAGACACAAAGCAGATAGTAAGATATGACAAGACCATTTTTCTGTTAACTTGGCAGCCCTGGCAGTCCTGGGCGGCTCAAGAGCACTGCGTAATGTGAGTGGATAGTTCCCGGGGGTCGCGGCGTCCTGGATGCGGTGGATTTACGCGATTACGGCGAAAAACAGTTTTAAACCCGCAAGAATACCTGGAGTGACCACCGCGGGACAGACCATTGTAAAATGCTTAGGCTTAAAAACACGCGATTTATTGAAAGAATTAGCCTAGGGCCACTTTCACGGTTTTCTAATACAGATAATGATTATAATTTGTTATCTAACTGTTTACGCGATTACGGCGTAAAACAGTTTTAAACCCGCAAGAATACCTGGAGCGACCACCGCGGGACAGACCATTGTAAAATGCATACTACGCAGACAAAAAATTTGAAAGAATTAGGACCACTTTCACCAGTTCTTGTTACAGATGGTTATCTTAAAAACGCTAACTGGTAATAACAATCTGAGAGTCAGAGAACTGTGAACCCAAAATTCCGAATATTGTAGTTCATCTGAAGTATAAGGCCTGCCACATACACGGGACAGCTTGAAACATCAGTATCCGACAGCTTCAAGCTGCAACTACGTACGACACGTTACCGCTAGAGCAGTCACAATAAGCTTTCGTAGTTTGCTATGCAGTCACAACTTGAAGTTGTCGATACTAGTTGCTTCAAGTTATTCGTGTAGCGGGGGCCTCAGGTTTTAATTGGCTATATCAGTGAATTCATACTTAAACTACAGACAGAAGCCTATACACAATTATATTTTTTTCAATCATTTATCAGTGGTTCCGTTTTCACTTAGATTTCTCTAATGTCCACTTAATCGATCACTTTAAACCTCGCTGAGCTGTGTAATAGATACGGGGCGCTTGATGGATCGTCCTCCAGTAGTCGCAGATAAAGGAATGCGGTACTATAATCAGATAAATCGATAGAAATGCTTCGATTATTTTACTTTTCTTTCTTTGGTTATCCTAAAACTGTTTGGGCTCTTGCAAAATTCATCTTTTAGTTTACAGATCGGGAATATGTAACCAGACAGCTGAATTACATACTCGTAATAACTAAGCAGTAGTAAATTGAGATTTTTTCTTTCTACATTTTAGATTATTCATGATAATATAAGGCTTCATAATAATGATAGTTTCCTAAACCGAAGGCGATAAATCCAGTCTGTTTTACTCTATTTTTATTATTTGTAAATTGATAGAAAATGAAAAATATAATAACTATTTTTACAAGTACATACCCTGGTGTTGTTCCTCTCTGCCTTGAGCTCTGAGATCTCCTCCTCTCGCTCTAACAGCTGTTCCCTGGCCTGGTTGAGTTCCTTCGTTAGCGTCGCGAATTCCTGTGGACAAAACAACCAAACGTTAGTAGAGGTTCGATTTCCTATAAAAAATACACGGTTTCGATGAAAATTTTCAATTTATAGAACCAAGGCACGTTTACTGAATTGAGATTTTTAGCTAGAAATCTCATTTTCTATTAAGACCTACTTTTATAAGCTTAAGTTCATAAAGAAGATCCTAAAAATCTTAATTAAAAAACCGGGCCACTATATTTTCAGGTCACTCGTTTATGAGTTCTAAACTCATAAACGAGTGACCTGAAAATAGCCTCCAATATTTTATTCTTCGAAAACCTAAAAAACTTCAGTGAGAACATTTTAAAGCGCATAATATTCTGGAATTGAGGGCACTTGTTCCAATGAGGTCCACAAGCCTGCGAGCTGCCCTCGAGGGAATACGAACGAGGTCGGCGTTACAGGGCCACCTCCTCTTGGAGGTTTAATTGGCTGGCAATCAGGGCCTCTATTACGAAATCAAGAGACGTTTTTATTTACTAGATTTTTTTATTAGCTCCACCTATACGTTGTCTGTATGTTTTTTACCTCGCGGAGTTCGTTTGATCTGATTGTTAGGTATTTATATTGATAGTTGAAAAACGAGACTATTCCCACCTCTAGTTCCCACCGCTGCAACTCCTGTGTAGCCAGGATCTACAACTCAACCGCTAGTAAAAACCAACCAGTGAAGGTCAAGTTTGTCCCGGGGGAAAGTTAAACTGTCATTGGACCCGCATAGAAATTAATCAGAAGAACATAGGAGTTCGAAGTTAAGGTTCAACTTCAGTAAAAGTAACACAACGACAGCACGTCAAGCTATGCACTGCGGTATGTTATTCAGTTGTAATAGGGGGTATTCTGGAACAAAAATGTATTGTCGATGCTGCTGTTAAAAGTTGGTTTATCCTTAAATTCTGTAAATTACAAGCTAAACGTAAAAAGTCAAATCAAATTCAAGTCTATACGCTTTGCTCATTTTTAGGTATTTATTTTTCAATGTGAAAAACTACTTGTGTTTCAATAAAACCTTTGAAGCATTATTTATTTTATTTAGCTTGTAGCTAGCGTTTTCTCGCTTTGTTAAAGATTGCATACTTTCTTCAACTCGGGAGTGCAACAAAACAAAAATGAATCTGAAACAATTAAAACAAGTCTTAGTTCTTAAGCTTGTAGAATAAGTTATGAACTCTGAGACTTGAAATTAATTGTACATTTTCTTGTAGTTCTTATATCAATCAATTTATCTAGCATGTGAATCAATGAAGCGATCACCCACCGTTAACAACGATTACATACGAAAGTGAATTGGTTCAATTACTTAAGTAATACATCTCTTTTATAAAGGTCAAAATGGACTGCCTTGTTTTAAATAAGAATGAACTAAATTCTTATTTTCTTTCTTAAACTAACAACTATCAAATGCGACCTAAGTTCATCCACCTAAACGAACAAAACGTTAATTCATTCTATAATTAAAACATACAAGATTATATTTAATCTTGTTTGTTCATAATAGAAAATTAAAATTGAAATAATATTCACATTGTTTTATAAGTAGCTTTAACAAAAGTCAAAAGGACAATACAGCCGCGTCAAAGGCTTTCAGCAAATGGAAAGCAAACAACACACGCAGTTAATTGTTTGCTTTTCTACCTGTTTGTGCTAAATTATAGCCCGGGAAGATCAGCCAACAGTAAAACAAATAAAACATGGGCAAGAGATTATGAAGAAGTCTGTTTAATGAGTTACAAGCGTTGGTCGTTTAAACGTAATTATCCAATCAACCACTAGCTCTTAAGGTTGAGGCTATGTAGGTATTTAGTGTGACTTTTAGATGAGTTTGTAACATAAGCTGCCTTTTTATCTTTTTCGACCCTTTCATACTCTTGCCTAGGCATTAGGTTATAACTGAGTGGTACTCTTATCTCTTTAGGCTGTGACACTATTGGTGAAACAAAACGCTACAACATCCCCGCAATTTACTTCTTAACACTCGAATTAACAAGCGCACAATAGCGAATTAAACGTTTATTGTCAGGTACACTCTAATTTACGGCATTCGAACAAAGCGGCTAAACCGGACGGCTTCGCCAACTTCACCAGCACAATGATCAGAATTACAATTATTGGTAGCACGAATATCACCATCGTACGGACGACGGCACATCTAGCTTAACACCGTTGAAATAAGTGCTATATTCCAACAAAAAAGTGTAGACCAATGTGCTGGCGACTGCACAACAAATTAAAGATAAACAGTTGAAATTTAATTAAATACACAATACAGATGGAAACGAGGCCTTCCAGATTAATATACAAACATATCAATGTATGCACGAAAAGCTTATCTTCTTCAGTGAAAGAGCGATGTTCTTAAGATTCCAAAGCTGCTTTAGGATTTAATTTATTGCGGTCTTGCACTGTAACACAGCAGCACAGTAACACTTGGATAGTTGACAAAACTTGAGAATGGTCCTTAATCCAGCATTCAGGAAGACTTGCTGATTTGAAAGCTCTTATAACTTCGTAATCTGAATCAATTGAATCTTGTTCCAGAGTTGCAGACTTGTAACCGCAATACAGAAGGATTCCGCAGTCGTCCATTTACGGTTTGTTATCTAATTAGATTCGAATCCGCCGCTTGTATTGATCATTTTATATTTAGCAATAGTTTCAGCATCGCAACTGATTTTCTGAATTTTTATTGAAAAGTGAATTGTTTTGTGTTTACCAACATGTTTGTCTATTCAAACTTGACATCGTTGTCAATTTGATATATTTTTTTAAAGTTAACGGCCTTGGAAATCTTTATGATAGTCAGACATTGACAATACGTTAATTTCACAAAAATATTGATTTGCATTTTGCCATTGAATTAAAATAGTTATGGAGGCATGAATGAATTAAGATGGTAAATATTTACATGAATTGATTTATTAAAATATGTTTCAACATTACTCATAGTCTCTTTTCGAGCAAGTGCGTAAGTTCACCCAATAAAATGATTGAGTAGATCTTTTTAGAAACTAAAACAAAGTATACTTACCCCTGTATCTGGGCTAAGCACTCAGTTATCCGTATCATTTGTAACGCCGATTGATTAACACTAGAAAGGCCGCCGTCCCATTTTTGTCCCACTCGCGAGTTTGATCGTCTCTAACTTTTTTATTTTTCAACGAAAGTCCATGAAACTTTTTGACTTTTTCTGATTTATTGAATTTTATCATTTTTTAATGTTTTTGATAATATAACATTAACAGAAATTTTTTTAAAATCGGTTTTACCTAGAAGCGCCACTGGGTCAATTTTGTCCCACCCTGGTATTTGCCACAATAATTCGATGTAGAGTCCTTTTTTCGAGGAGATACGAAAGTGGAGAGGTGGGGAGAGTTTAGGTGACTCGTGACAATGCAGAAATGTAAATATATTGTACTAGCTTTTGCCTGTGACTTCACCCGTGAGAAATTAAGTTTATCATAGAAAGACCTAATTTCTTAACACTTATCGTTGCTTTTTGACCAAATACCTGAATATTATTCTAAATTATAGCCTATATTATGTTATTCTGAAGTATTAACAATAAAACTGAAAAGTTTTATTAAGATCGGCTTAGTATTTTTTGCGTAAAAGAGTGAAAAAACATCCATCGATCTAACCATGAATCCATACTCACTTAGTTCAAGTTCCAGGCATATATCCACCCATTTATCCTTCCTATCCATTCATCAGTCCATCCATCCTTCAATTCATCAATATTTATTAATATTTACATTTATAATAATAGTAGGAAGAAGCCTTCTAGAAATAAGCCAGTTCATACATTGTATGATTTGACACATTTTTAAAATGTGTGACTTATAAAATTTTGAAGATTAAACGTACATACTTTTCATTGTAATTGGTTAAAAACTTCATTGTTTGTGTACAGATAATAGAAAAATAACTATACCTATAGAAATTCCCAAACACATAGTACACCTGAGAGACAAAAAACCATACAAAAAAACTTTGTGCAAAATGTGCACTATTATTTGTAAGATATTTATTTTTTCTTTAAAAATAATAATGACTAGTTAAAGTAGTAATTTTGTTATTATAATACAGTATAACACCACGTAATATGTCACTATTTTTAAATGAAACCAAAAATATCTGACTTTCAATAATTCAAAATTCAAATTGAATACATTTATATTTTTAAAGAAATAAGTAGGTATTATTTTACCAACATAGATAAACCTTTTTTTAAGGATACTACAAATAGTTTTAACCATAATATTCATGCCTGAAACAAAAAAATGTTACAAAATACATGATGGGACAAAATTGACCCAGCGGCGCTTTTAGGGGGGTCGTAATCTTCGGCACTTCTAGTGTTAATAGGGGGCGCTCGGCGAGTATTATCATAAGAGATTACTGCGCCTGCTTCTGTCCTGATAAAGTGGTGGTTTTACTCTAGTTTTACTCTTAGAAATTCTTCATATTGAAAACTGATCTATATAGTTTCAAACCAATCTTCAGTACCTTCTGCCTGCAGCGAGATTAAGATTTTTTTTATGTGACAACAGGCAAACGAGCAAACGGATCACCTGATGGTAAGTGATTACCGTCGCCCATAGACACCCGCAGTCCCAGGGGCGTTACAGGTGCGTTGCCGGCCTTTAAGGTGAAGATACGCTCTCTTCTTGAATACTAATACTAATACCACTAATACGATCTATCCTTCTTCTCTTCTATCAGTCTTCACTGCAGGAGGACGAGCCTCTGATTTCATCATCATAATTTCAGCCATAGGACGTCCACTGCTGAACATATGCCTCCCCCAATGATTTCCACAATGGTCTCTAATTTACCAGAGGCTAAAGTTACAATTTGGCATATACTCACATTGTCAGTCAGTCATACACTCAGTCTTAGGGAAAGACGTGAACCCCAACAGAATACATTATTTGGAAATTCAATTATTTTACAGTGAGAAACATTATTTACTTGACGGTCACTAG